GCGCACAGCCAGGCTGCTCATCGAAACAAAACCCTGTATGTGCGATCTCGTCGAGCCCTGGCTGTATGAGCGCGGAGGGCTTTTAATGTTTATGGGCCCGGTTTCTTCGACCGGGAGATCCGGGGATTCGGATCCCTGGCAGAAAATGTACCGTAAATGTTTATTAAAATCCCATTATTCATGTAACGAAGCGGGAAGGAAATTGGCTGCAGCTTACCCAATGTGAGCGTACTGCATACTGCAGGAAGCGAGACCGCCGGGACCCTTCAAAGGCTGCCAAGCCAAACAAAATTGATTGCGATTCCGCTCGCTCAACTTATCCATAATCAACGAGATTAAAAGGATGCGAAAGATGTTTGGGGTTTGAGTCTACTTGCTGATCCGCGTTGCTCTTGCTGTCAAACGCGACGCTGCTGCTCCGATCCGATTGCACAATAACCATTGACGTTTGCAACAAATGTGACATGCTTTGCACCAACGCAAGGTGACACTTTAAAATGTTGTTACCCTGTGGTGGTCAGTTTGCACAAAGCAAGCTTGCGGCAAAGATTTTGAATATTAATATGATTAATATACGTATGCATTTTTTATCTGTGTCTCCTGGGGTCTATCGATTACTCACGTTAGATAATGAGCCACTGATAACCGAACGCTTGAGACACATTCCGAAACGCTAAACTGCCATCAATACGGGACCATAAATTGAACAATCAGAGCTTAAGCACATTATATAAACATAAAAAGTGACCCGTCATGGTCCGGTCTTGTCGTCTGGCTGGGGGGTGGGAAGCTCTCTCCATGTCTTCGGTATGAACATATGTGTGTCGAATAACAGGTGGAATGACATGCATTGCCTCGGGGTCTTTTCTGCACGGGCATGGAAAATATGGGGTGTAAATTTATGTCCGTCAGCTAGACTCCGCAGTCGGCGGCGGTGGTGTGCAACGCGTTAGCGAGAAATGCGACCAAATATCTAATTATTCAAAATTTCAAAGATCCAAGCGATAGCGACCCAGCGCTCACACATCCCCACTTCGTCGTATCGTCAACGTCGGGCGCTTGAGTTGGCTCCTCGATGGAGAGGATGGAAGCAAAATCGGTGTCCGCGCATAGTTTTACGACGTCTTTAACGGGAATTTTATCTGCGCGTTTATCAAATGTCGTGCCTACCTCTGGAATTAGGGGAAGTGCGGATGGACAGGCGGGTTTCTCCCATCTCTCAGCAAACAGACTGAGGTCTTACATTAATCGAAATTGAAAACTATAAAAATCTGAAGTACCACTGCACTCGGTAGAAATCTGCTGGATGCGTTAACGACTCCCTGTGTTTGTTGGTCCCGATGACGAAGACGACCACAGCGGACGGATGCTGAGAGGACTGCCTCACCGCAGCAGCAGCTACTGTTGTCTCAATCCCATATTTTATGCTGTAATTTGCAATTTAAGCACTCTCGGCAGCCGTTGCAACTTTGCGGTTTTATTACACCACTGCATCAAAGAACAAACGGTGCTCAGCCGAAGAAACGGAATATTAAATTTTATAAGTCCATCTGTAACCTCCTTTTCATTTACTCTCCGCCAGCAAATCTTGTGTTTATTTTTGTACAATTATAATCATTACCATGCTCCTCCAGTCAGAGCCAACTCATGTCACTGAGTGCTCGCGTTCGTCTCATCAGTCTACTCACCAACGGCAGAGGTAATAATCATAACCCATCGGTTGATCTTCTCCCAGGATCCGGAGCCCTCGGGGGATCTAGAACCCTTTAGCATAAATGACAGCCTCTGTGATGATCGCTTTATTGCGGAAGAAAGGAATTAATCGAACGTTCCACCTCCCGAAGGCACACGATCGGCTACAATGTTTGCTTCTACTTTGCAATAAATCCGTACTTTATTGTGTCAATCATTTAACGCACCATCAATCATGGTGCTGTAGCTAATTTTGCACACACTGCCTCTGGAGTTCAGTGTCAAAATCTGACTGCCTTCCAACTTGTATAAGCTGCAGCTATAGAAGAGCCTTCTAACGGGACACGACAGCGTTGGCGTGCCTCAACGATGATAACGATAGCTTGTCACGCGCGTTTAGATTCCCGTAAAATTGTGTTCTACTCGCGCAGAATCCGAATAGCGAATGACCACATGGTGAGTGCAAATTGCCCACGGAGAAGACTGCGCCCGAGCATGAATGAAACTGAGCACGGTAAGTGTGCAATCGATCCTAGCGCATGCTCCGGTCGTAACATGGATGAATGGTAACTGTGCTTATTGCCGGGTGGAAATAAATATAATCATAAATTATGTACGCTCTCCTCTGGGGCTGAAATTGCTGCAGCTTCCTCATACATCGGCCGATCGGATAAAATGTGAATGAAACCGAACCGAAAGGAAGTGTGTTGTAATTCTGGTAACCGCCGCCGGAAAGGAGTTCGGTTACAATGTGTGTAACGCCTTGGGCTGGGTTTCCTCTTCCTGCTCCATTCGATGCAGATTAATTGTTATCTTGCGAAATTGACGATACGGTCATCAATACAACCTGAATCACATTCCTGCTGCCTTGAATTTACGAAAACAATTAAGGCTGATTACATTTGGTGAATTTTAACTTATTTGACAGATGGAACAGTTTCAAATAAACCTGCTATTCTACCAGACTTATTTCTGAAAGATCAGGAATCAATTTTGAAAAACATCGTCTCAAAAATCGAACGGTAATCAATTTCAATTTTATTTTCGGCGTGTCAAATTTAAGTGAAATTGTTCAAATGGAACCCAGCTTTAGGCTCTGAGGCTTATTGGTAAATTTTCTCTTATATTTGACAAATGGAATTTTTTTAATAAACCTGCCATTCCACCAGACTTATTTCTGACAGACAATAAATCAATGTTGACAGACACCTTCTCGAAAATCGAACGATCAACAACAAAGGGATTTTCGAACATCTTAATTTATTTTTGAAGTGTCAAATTTAAATGAAAATTTTCCAAATGGAACACAGCCTGAACTATTCGACGATTTTTTTGACATAGGACTACGTCTTTAATTTCTATACTGGGGTACACTTTGTGAAAACCGAAAAAGGAACATGAAACAAAATTATGAAAGATTTTGAACATTAATAACTCAGCTGCCCCTGGATCAATTTCAATAATTTTATCACCAATCGATCAGAAGTATGTCTACGCAATGCTTCCAATTGATGATTTTCAACAAGAAACTATTGAAAAAGTGGTAATGTCAAGCATTATCCAAAGTAAAAAGTGATAAATTTTCACTGTTTTCTTGAAATAAACGTTGTTCCCAAACGCAGTCGTCATAAAGGAGTACCACTTGATTGCACATCATTCTGCTTTAACCTGAAAAGATATAAAACAACGCTGCTGGCAGCAGAAGCAGTGGCGGTGTCAAACGTGTCTCCGGTCTGATCTACGAGAAAACATGAGGTGTGCTGAAGGTGTTCTTGGAAAATGTGATCCGTGATGCTGTCACTGAACACGCCACGGCCATCGATGTCGTCTACGCTTTGAAGCGACAGACGAACTCTGTACAGTTTCGAAGGTTAAATCATCACCAACTTTGGCAGCAAAACGGCTTATTACAGTAAAAAGTTAGAATATAATGTATCTGCCTGTTGGTCCATATTCAGAACCACATGCCCCCAACGACCACACAAAATGCTCTCCAGAGTTGTAATGTTGTAACCAAACTTGGAAGCAGGGGTACAAGTGATTTTGATCGATTCTCTTCATCAACTTTCTCTATAAAAAAAAATACTACAAATTTGGTACACATACAAATCAAAAACGGAAAGAGTTAAGATAATAGATGATCGATCAATTAAAAGAACTAAATTTTCTTCACATTTGTTCCGTGCCCTAGCGGTCCTACGTCAAGCTCCCATTCGTGCCCCTAGGCACAGACCCTTCTACTTTTTTGTTTACTTTTGGTTAAAGTTTGACCAATGGAAAGTTATCGATTAACCCTGCTACCCGAGCGTGAATACTTCTGACAGAAAAGAAGCTAGATTTTGACAACCGTTGCTGAGTTGTGCTCGAAAATTCGAACATGTAAAATAACTTTCGAAGTATAATTTTTACCCACGAGTTAAATTTAACTCTGCAATTGGTTCACAGCCTAAATACGTATTGTACTTGATTGAATTAGAATTATAACAATTCTTGCACGCTTCACGCTTGTTCCAGCACGCACCACCTGTCACTCAACCAGTCAAGGTCTGCTTCTTTGATCGTCAACACTTGCCAGTGCATGCTATGTCACTTTCAAGAATCACGCAACGCAAAGTTTCTGAAGAGTGCCAATTTCGACCGATTCCATCGTTACGCTGCTGACTCAATTTTCGACTCACCATTTACACAAAAACCGAACAGCAATCTCTGTCATGTCCGTCAATTAAATCACCGCCTATTTTGTTTACATTTTAATTTCTTCCCTGCTTGGATCCCGACCTGTCCGGTTGTTTTCTCAGAATGACACTTTCTTATTCGCTACGACATACACACAGACAGGGCAGCAACCAGCGACAGCTAAGCTGTAGCGTGGAAAAAAGAGCGTTAATAAAATCATTTGAAAGGCCATTACCTCAACTGACAGCGCGGTGTAAAATTTCCATTTTGAACGCTACTCTCCGAACGATAGCGAACTATGCGAAGAGATGCAAATGCACTCCAGCCTAGTCCACCGAGCGCAGAAAAGGATGCAACAATATTTTACTCTTTTTTAATGAAGATAAGCTCCGCAATAATCTCACGCGCGCACTTATAAAAATGAAAAATATCTATATCTGTTAAGCATTTACCGGTTCCCGCGTGAATTCCACTTGGCCAGTCGGTGTAGATCGAATAGCTGGGAAGCTACTTTTTGACTACAATTTATCGTGAAGAAGTTGGTCACATTCCACAAAGGGAAGGCATTTGCTGTCCTGACATTCTATATGAGTTGACCAATGTACTGACATTTTCATGATTTTCTCTTACAGGGTGCTGAGCGTAAAACACGTGACGAAGAGCGACGTGCTGCGAAACGCAAAATGACTGCTACTGGACGGAAAAAGTTGGATGAACTCTACCATCCTGTTGTGGACCGGTCCGAATTCTACACGATGAGCGATCTGTTGAAACCTCCTGTACTGTTCACACCTTCGGAGGACATTGATAAGGTAATATTCTCATCTTGAAAAAAAAAGCATGATTTAACTATGTTAACTCGTTTACAGCTCGCCTCGATGGATTTGCAGTTCTACGGCCACGACGCAGACTCGCTTTCTGGAGGTTCAGACAACGTCAAGTCGCCCTTCTTACTGCATGCCAACAAAGCCACTACACCTACCCTCAAGTTCCACAATCACTTCCCACCAGACGTGAATACGTGAGTAAAAAGTCGGATAGAAATTCCAAGTTTCGTGCCTCCTCCGGAAAACCGAGGAGTAGCTACTGTTTCGAACACTAACTAATCTGCTATTTCTTTCGCGGTTTCTTTTCCTCAACAGTGACAAAAAAGATCCCAGCATCATCATGGACGGATCGATGGTCAGCAACATGTCTGAATTCAGTCCGCAGATCAAGCGACAGCGGATGACCCCGCCATTGAACGAGCGGGTAATGCTGTACGTCCGTCAGGATAACGAAGATGTCTACACGCCCCTACACGTAGTTCCACCGTCGACGGTCGGGCTTTTGAATGCTGTAAGTTGACAGTTGCTCGCCGTACCTACACTGAACAAAACCAAAACCTTGGAAACTCAAAATACTTTTCCGCATTTCCAAACAAAACCACACCCAATTTGCATCTACCTTACCAAAAAAACACACAAATCTACTGCTACGGTATTTGCACCTTGGTGTTGAATGTAATCGCAAATTTGATTGGATACAAAAAAAAATAAGCCTGGAAAGGGACTGTACAGTTGTCAAAAACCACCTCTGACAGCTGTCAATCCACTTTCTGGACCACATAGAAATTGACAACAAAATCGGAAATATTTGCGCCAATAACCAATTTTTAATTAATCCGCTTTATGTTTCTGTTTAATCATTAATTAAGGCACACTAGAAACACCAGCCAAACTACTGCTGCGGCGGTTTCATAACCACACAAAACGGGCACCCAATTTTTAATACCTCCTCCGTTATGGACACTAATTCCTCAAGAGCAAGGGTCGTATTAACCATGAAGCAAAAACCACCTTATCTGTGTATGTCCCCCTTTCCCCTTCTTCCGAGTGAATGTGAATGCGCTTATGTTTTGGGTTTATGCTAATTTAAAAACAAATCTAAAAATCCTATGTGACTAGCATCACACATGCACTCAACTGAAGCTCAGCAACAGCAAACAAAAAAAATACGAATCCCGGAAGCTAGGTTATTAACATCATTCATCTGTCATATTGTTTGTTTCTCGAATACTTCCTCCTTCCGCGAGAGCGTGAACACGTGATTCGCGGCACTTAGAAGCTTTCAAAAACGCAAAGCTGTCAGTTTGCCATTCCACACCTTCTCGCAGCACAAGCAGGATTACAACGCGAAAGTTGATTATTGGCACAGACTTTTCCAAATTTGTCGTCCCTCAGTCCAGAGATAAAAAAAAAACTCAAAGCTACCATCTACGGAGTCGAAAAAGTATTTTGTTTTCCTCAATGCGCCAATTCCAAAGAAGCAAATAGCTGGAATTTGGTTTTACGCTCCGTTTCCAGCTTGTCCTACAGTTGTTTTCTCTCTCTCTGCTAATTCCAGATTGAAAATAAATTCAAAATTTCGACGTCGAGAATAAATAATATTTATCGCAAAAATAAGAAAGGGTAAGTTGCCTCATTCAAAACGAGTACTATTGAAACCGTAGATTTCCTTCTTCTGTCTGTTTTCTTTCCTCCTCTCTGAAACAACGTCACGATCAATGCAACCATAGAAACCAAAAACCAAGAACAAAATTTGCTCACTTTCATCTCATCCATTCATTTGATATGCCACACAAACGCTCGTTGTTTTCGCTAACATAGTTTGCTATGTTTTACCAATTTACTAACGACAAAAGCTACCTGTGTCTAAAAGCTCTAACAAAGACGCATGCTGCTTCCTCTTCAGCTCGGCACAACAAAAGGGAAAACCGAACAAAGGGAGAAAGCTTGCAACGTCGCTTGCCAACACCTAAATTTATGCTTCAATGCTAACACACCCAAAAAGCATGCGTGACTTGCATGCAACTTATATAGAACATCGAAATATTTATATAGGTCATCGAATAAGGCAGCAATCGAGACGCACGTGAACTAATTTGCAACTGTCATTCTCTTTTCTTTCGTTTTGTTCACAGGATTACGGCGAGAATTGACGACGACATGATCAGACACTATTGCAATGAAGACATCTTCATCCTGGAGGTCCGACAGTACGAGGAAGATTTGTACGACATCACGCTGACGGAACTTCCGACGCATTGAAAATAGAGAAAGGCGAATAACATTCGGTTAGGTGTAAGAATTTTACTTTTTTGTTTTCGTAGTAATTTCAATTTTCGATAAGAAGGTTAAAATTTTTGTTCGACAGTGCCTTAGAAGAGACATTTATACGTTTAAGTTGTACATTGTTGATATAGGAACCCCGAAAACTCACTCGTGAGCAGCGGCAGATGAATAGCACTCGTACGTTTAAGATATTGCACGTTTTTAGTTCGTATTGACCTGTAATTGATTAGATTTATTTATTTATTTGTAAACAGAACAAAATGATACTTAAAATAAGATCTGAAGGATGCAACATCGTAAGCTCCTCATGGCAAGAGATTCCGTGGACAGAAACGTAGTATTTTGGGGAGCAAACTTTCTTTTTAATATCCATCGAACGCATTTATCGAACCTAGTTTAATTGCAATTTCAATGAACAAAACAAGCTAGAAATCCACTACAAGATCTCAAAATATTTGTATTTTATGCGGGCATCACTAGAGCGATCGGAATCGATCAGACCTGGCAGGTGCCCACAATTTGTTTTGCTCAACTGTTGGAACGATTGTTTGGATTGATTATGGTGCGCTCATTCTCCCCAGGCCACCATGATTGTGTCAATGCCATTTAAATTGCTGCTTGCCAATCGTTCCAATCAGAGTAGATTTCAGCCATAAATTTTTAACAATTAGATTTTAAAGATTATCTTTTGTCTTCTCCTGCGGAATGAGAATTATTCTTTGATTCTAAATCATTTTACGATTGAACGTACTTTACAAGACAGAATCATAGCATACTAAACTTTTTGTACAACAAAATAGTTTTTCTTTATTAATAGCTGGTAGCGATCATCCATCGGTTGCAATATTAACAATAATGATTCCAACGTAACAATAGCATAGAAGGATAAGAGTAACTTTTAGGATCGTAAGTTTGAAGCGCTCATTTTACATTCCATGACAGAGTTTATAATTTTCATTCCACGCCTTTTCTGTTATTCTTAGCCCCATCATCGTACTTCTACTCTCGAAGCATTCCAAGAAAGCATGTTTTAACACATCTTTAAAATAATAGTAAGAGTTACTTTTAAGGAAACCCCTCTGATGAAACTGCCATACTTGAGAATACAAATAGTGAATAAGAACGACGTCTATCAACCTTGACATCTAGTAGAAACAATACATTCAGCACTAATTGATAAGTACCTGAGAGATTTTAATCGAAATGAGACAGAAAGGGAAAGTATTTTTAAAGCGAGTGCAGTTTTTCAAAAACCGAACTGCACGTGACAGCGAAACACGAGTAATGCTAATGTGATATTGAAAAGGAACGCTACAAGATTTTCGTTATCTAAACAAACAAAAAACTCACTCGAATGCAGGCCACTAGTGGACTTACCGCATTTCCGCAGAAACACAAAAGTGCAAACATTCTTGCCACAAATGATTCAGATAATCGTGCCCAAACGTCAATTGCCATACATATGATCATTTCCCTCCTCAAAAAGTCCTCGGTGGCCAAACTGCACAAAGCACACAAATACACACGAGCGCACAACTTTCCACAAGTTGAGTTTTGAAAACATACTTCCGAGCAACGCTATTCGAAGTTAACTTTAGTGAGTAACTTGCGATGGAACGCAATTTGCCGCTCCACACATCGCAGAAGAATATTTGCAATATTAATTTTACTAATCTTAAAAGAGACTAGAACATAGTTACAGTATTTAACACGGAAAACAGCTACATTCCTGTTGTGAAAAATCTTCTACTCACGTAGGTAACCGACTATAAATGATTTCTTTTGGTGGTGGATGACGGTCAACTTTTTGATAAATTCTTCTGTATTCTTTGTTTTATTGTTCCCATCTCTATAATTTTAATACTATTCTCAGTAGTTAAACGATAATCACAAAAAGAATGCAGTAATGATTTTCTTATAGTAGAAACAAGTTTTGCCATTACATACACGAAGAAGAATAGTCTCGAACTATTGGACAAGCATGAGAAAAAATGTGACTAACAAATAGGATAAGCTAAATGAAGAAAATTATCATTCCAATAGTAAGGTAGTTAAGAGATTTATAGTAGAAAAAATTCGTTTCTTATTATGAAAGTAAATTTCAAAATTTTCTATTGTTATATTTTATGAATATTGAATAAAACATGATTTTTACTAAACATCCTGGGGTATACACTAATCCATTAAGGCTATCCGAAATCGTATGTGCCTTACCTTTCCTAAGCTAAGGTGGTTCGAAGCGACTTCACATTCTGTAGAATCCCGTAAAAAAAAGAACGATACAGGCACAATGAAATGTATTGTAACCATACAATAGAATTTATTGTACTTAAAATACATTGTATTGTCAGCAGCTATAAAATAACCATATAATTTATAGTTTCCACAATAGAATCTATGGTAAACGTGGAAATCTACAATAGAACAAGGCGGTTGTTATGTATCTTAACCGTACAGAAAATCACTTTTTCCCGAATAAACTTGAGTCATTTACCATTAATTTTATTGTTTTTCTATTGTTGAAAATTCATGCTCTATGGAACGTATTGTAGATCTATTGTAATAACAATATTTTAAATTTACTTGTATGATATACATACGATAGGATCAATTGTTGGTAATAGATTGTGTTGTGATTTTATATAATTTTATGGTTATTGTATGGTTATTTTTTCCGGGATGTTACTCCTACTAGCTCAGTTTGTAGCTGCTTGTCTTCAATTTCAGTACACGCTATTTCAAAACTACCCAAATTTGGGTAAAATAGCGTGTAGCCTCTCACACCACTTTTATTGACGTATTGTTAATAGACTTCTCTGACGTTATTTAATAAAGGAAACAAGAAGTGAATACAGAAATATTGTCAATATCGATGTATTGACGTCAATATAGAATGTATAGACTTCTCTGACGTTTATGAATTGCACAAGTATTAGTGCAGAACTTTGGGTGAATCAAAGGTTTTCTTGCAATAATACTTATAATTTACCCCAAGCTCTGCACTAATACTTGTGCAATTCATAATCGTCAGAGAAGTCTATACATTCTATATTGACGTCAATACATCGATATTGACAATATTTCTGTATTCACTTCTTGTTTCCTTTATCCGATTGGCGCTGTAGACGACGTTGGGGACGTCGGTGTTTTTTTACGTGTTTACCGCGTGTGGCGGAAACGGCCGAAATGACCGTGTATCGCTAGAAGCGAATTCTAGATAAAAAGCCGTCGAACGGCTGTTCGACGCGTTAATGAAAAATCTCCATACAAAATTTCCTCAACTTCTACGAAGTTCTATGAATTTATTCCAATTTCCATATTTTTTATAACTATCTTAATCCTACGAAGACCTCTAAACATCTTTGCACTACGGGAAAGACGCCTATCATCTACAAATATTCCTGAACATCTGGAAAGTTCAATGAAATTTAATGAAATTCACAAAACCTCCTAGAAGTTCATGGAGCTTTCTTGAAGTAAGATCTCTGACAAACTGCAAACTCTAAACTGAAGCGAGGCTCCGAAGTTTATTGAACTAGTTTTAGATCTTCTACAAAATTCCCTAAACTTTTTGAAAATTCCTTACACTTATATGAACGCAGCTCCTCAAAATGCTACGAAATTCGCAAAACTTCTACAAAGTTTGCTGCACTTCAACGTTTCTCGTTTATTTTCCGCGAAGTTCCACGAACGAAATTTCTTGAAGTTGTAATTTCCACAACTATTCCAAGTCCATGAGGCTTGAAAAAGTGCTCTAAAATTATATAGAGTTTCCCGATCAATAATGAGCTTCCCTGCAATAAAATAATGTTCCCTTTACTTCTACAAAGCTCCTCAAACATAAATAAATTTTCCACTTCTACGCAGTTTCAGAAGCTTTCCAAGTTCCTTGTTTCAACGAATTTTTCTGAAGATCTGTGAAGTTTCCAGAATATCTACTAAGTTTCCTCAATTTCTACGATGTTCCCTGAATTTCTTAGAAGTCCTTGAAGTTTTACGAAGGTCCCAGAAGTTAAAGAAAAATCCCTGGGCTCATGGCCAATTTGTGGAGCCATAAGACTTCTTGTTTAGCTATCGATTAAGTAACGATATAATATAATTTCTAAAAATTGTTTCTTCTAGTCCAGAACATAAGAAAAGTAGTCAACAAGGATTTAAAAAAATCTTTGTTTGTGGTCTAATTTTATTATTCCCTGTTAAATAGCAACATCGAACTTGACAAGCTTAACAAGATACCGTTGAGTCAAATAAACATCAAACATTCTGGGAGGGCTGGATAGTTCTGGAGGGGGCCTGGCCCCCTGGCACCCCCATTAGCTACGCCAATGTTCACTGCACTTCTTAAGAGAAGTTTGTTAGCATTTTTCTCCTCCCAATGCATCCATTCACGGTAATTGTCATGCTCATGTTTGTTTTGCTATCGTCCACACGGCTTATGAGAACGACACAAATTTGAGTTTAGTTCACGAACATTTTACTCAGTCTAGGAATAGTACCAATAGACTGAGTGAATCCAATCGTTACTATTCTCATATTCTATATTTTTTCCTGGAAAAACCTAGGAAAAAAAACCTGGAAAAACATGAGGCAAATTAACTCATCGCTGTTGCGATTTATGAGTTTACTAAATTAATATTTGGGTGGTTTTCATTGGCCGTGTACCGGCCTTCTCAACTGCTTATTCTATCAGGGAGCCTACCGAAGACATCATTTCTTCTGCATAAAGATGGATAGTTTTTTTCTATCATCCACCCTACTTCATTGCCCTTCCGTCAGTGAACATACCGGAGACATTTTCATTTTGATCAATCTTTTTGTTTTAGTCTGCCGGCCTACACGAAAGCTAATTATTTTATTCATGTGTTTCACTTAAACACTTTTGCCAAAACATCAGCCTTGTAGAGGAAATTGATCGAAGATTGGGCCCATCGCTAAAAATCTGCTATTTATCAATTTTATTTAGATGAACGCGTCATTGGGACGGTACTAATGGATATTTTGGTCACTATTGAAAATTTGGTCGATTGCTGAATTTATGTATGGGCCCAAATTAGGGGCACTTAGGCCGACATTACATCCATTTCCCCTACATTCCATAAGACAAACCATAAGAATGCATAAACGGTATATGTGACCATTTATACATTTAATTTGACACATCAGGCATAACATTTAATAACGGCACAAAAGCATTTGTAAACAAACTTTCTAAGGCCTTTTTCACGCAAACCAACAACATAATCGGATAGGGGCAACTACCACCTTTCCGAAAGTGGTATTGGTTTGCGTGGGCGTGCTTTGGTTCGCTTGTAAAGGACCTTAAAAAGTTTGTTTACAAATGCTTTTGTGCCGTTATCAAATGTTATGTCATGATCGTCATTCACTTTTTTGTAAGGCGTCTGCTAATAAGCATATAAGCATAAAGGTCACTCATATAAGTCAACTTATGGATACCAGCAGCAGCTGTAGCACAAACGAAGTGACAGACGGAGCGGCTCGAGAACTTTGGTGACGCACCTGCTATTGCAATTTCTCAGTGTACCACATGGCAACACTACTACCACAAACGAAGGGACAGACGACTAACTGGCGAAGAAATCCATTAAAATAATGTGGTTCACTGTAATAGAATTTTCGTGGAAGCTTGTGCCATCATCCACCAGATGGGTTAGTTTTTTTTGTTTTGATTTGAACAAAGTTGATTTTGTGTATAATGATTCTTTGACAGTGTGCAAAGAGTTTATCATTTTGTCATTTTTTTTTATGCATTTTAGTTTTGAGTAGACTGAAAGAGATAGAACCAAAACATTCTAATAAATTTGGTGAAAATGCTAGTACAATCCTGTACAATCCAGTAGTAGTGGTGTTGCCATGTGGTACACTGAAAAAATGAAATAGCAGGTTAGTCACCAAAGTTTTCGAGCCGCACCGTCTGTCACTTCGTTTGTGCTACTACTAGATTGAACTAGCATTTTCACCAAATGCACTAGAATGTTTTGGTTCTATCTCTTTCACTCTACTCAAAACTGAAATGCGTAAAAAAAATGACAAAATGATACGCACTCTTTGCACACTGTCAAAGAATCATTGTACACAAAATCAGCTTTGTTCAAATCAAAACAAAAAAAACTAACCCATCTGGTGGATGATGGCATAAGCTTCCAAGAAAATTCTATTACAGTGAACCACATTATTTAAATGGATTTCTTCGCCAGTTAGTCGTCTGTCACTTCGTTTGTGGCTGTAGTAACAACAACAGCAGCAGTAATGGAAGCAGAGCAGCCGAAGCAGCATTACTGGTTCGTGAAGCTGTTATGCCTGATTCACGGCTTTATTGGTAGGCTCCAAGAAAGAGTGGCCGAGATATAAGATCGTGTAAAAAAAAATCCCGTCTGAAGGGCGGTGGATTGGGAAACGTCTCCGGTAGTCAGTCTGACAGAATAGCCAGTAGAGTACTCTGATAGAAATCTTCTTATTGATGAATTTACGTGACGGTTGACCAGCATATGGAAATGATGTGAAAATGATAATGACGTTTTGCTACCTGTCAAATCGTATGGAATATTTTTTAGTACATCATCACTTTTGTGGTGTTGGATTTCAAACCTAGGTGTCACATGCACTGGTGCAGTTTCGCGTAAATTCGACAGTTAGCATGCATAATGGCGAATACGCGATGATCGATTCTCTTCATCGATTTTCTCTGTGTAATAAAATAACAAATAAATAAATTTAACGAGTTATTAACAAAAGAGAACATCGACGAAGAGAATCGATCGTCGCGTATAGGCCCTTATGCATGCTCACTGTCGAATTCATCAATACCTTTGGAAAAATTTTATTGCTGTATTGCTGATTATTTATAAAATGTATAAGTTCGAGTATAAGTCAACCAATGAATACCAGTAGCTGCAACTGTTTTGTTTTCTACTCATCTTTTGTATATTTGCCCTCGTATTTGCCATGGTATACACTGAGCAAATTAAACGCCGGAACTAATTAAACAAAAAATATTAAATTTTATTCTTCATTTGTATGGTTCTGTTTCTGAGTGTACGTACCAATCACTCTGACACCATTTCTGAAGGGCTGGGCTGATCAGCTGATTTTAGAACAAGACCGTTTGACGTTGCCTGATCCTGACAGTTCTTGTTGTTGTTTACTTGTGCGTACTCGCTACTGTTGTGAATAATAATCGTTGTTCTGATCGTGTTCGGTAGTGAAATTGCATTTTTTTTTAGGTGAAAATACAGATTGAGTGATTTTGTGAAAATGGGGGATGAAAATGAAAATTCATGCGACAAGTTCGACGACGTCAAGCCCGACAAAATGTTCACCCTTAAAAAGTGGAATGCAGTGGCAATGTGGAGCTGGGACGTGGAGTGCGACACCTGTGCAATCTGCCGGGTTCAAGTCATGGGTGAGTGATTGAAATTATAATTGTTTTTGTCGAATTTTATCCATGGTGCAAACAAAATGTTTAAGTTTATTTCATTTGTTTTTCAAGTACCTATGACATTGTATCAGAATCTAACAAGATAACTCCTTATTTTACTATTTAGTCGCAACTGAAACTTTACGCCTGTCCTCAACAGTGTTCATTTTCTTTGTGGTGTCCTTTTGAACGGCTACGACCGCTCACGGTCCATCTCGCCACAGTGTTTATTGAGAACTTTCTAAGCCTGTACCGAGACCTGTAAATCACCTGCTTCCGAATAAATACGTATTGTATGACACATACAATGATACTTTAGTGAAGTCGAAAAATTTCGCAGGCTGGAAATCAAACCCTGTCACTCCATGGTCTTGATTTATAGCTGCGCCTTGTTTTTTCTTCGCTTGTATCAACGACTTGGCTAAGACCGGATTCGGTCCATCTCGCCATAGCTGCGCCTTTATTGATAGAGCTAAGGAGGCACCATGTTCCAATATTCCTTCCAAATCCATAATGATTTAATTAAACATAAAAAAGCTAAGAATTCATGCGCACTAGTTGCAAACAAATATATAGAGTAGGCATTGGCGTAGCTAATGGGTGTGCCAAGGGGGCCAGGCCCCCTCCATAATTATCTAGACTACCCCCCCCCCCCCCTACCCAGGAATTTTTGAATGTTTTTTTTATACACCGGTTGTCAAGCAGCTGCGAGGTTACTTTTTATTTCTATTGATTTTTATGAATGTCTATTTCTCTTAATGTTGTAGACTTGCAGAAATAACGTCGATAATTTATATTATATCGACATTTAATCAATAGCATAATCAGACGTCTTCAGGCTGTATACATTGGCGAAGAGTTCAGAGACCTCAAGGAACTTCGTAAAACTTCAAGGACTTCTAAGAAGCTCAGGGAACATCGAAACAATTAACGAAACTTACTTCATAGAGCTTTAAAAAAAATTGAAGAACCTCAGGGATCTTTAAAAAAAAGTTCAGAAAACTGCTTAGAAGTCGGTACTCTATTTATGGATTGTGAGCTTCGTAGAAGTCAGTGGCTTCCCGTAATCTCACTTGTTACCTGTGCACCAACTTTCAAAATGAGATTTAATGACATATTAATAATCGAATCGGTTCAAAAATACAATTAATCTTCTAGTTTACTCGATATCTATCCATTGCAAGCAATATTTTGATAATTGTTTATGTCTTGTGAGTTTGTGGACAGATAGATTGAGGTTATGGAAACGCCACTGGTAGAAGTTAAACATTATTTAATTTCAGGGAACCGCATTATTGTTCGGGGGTCTTCATATAATTTCTGGATACTTTTTTGGAGGTTCATGAGCCTGGAACAGTTCAGGGAATTACGTACCAGTTCAAGAAATTTCATACGTGAAACTTCGTGAAAAACGTAGAAATGCAGAAAACTTTGTAGAAATTTTGCGAATTTCGTAGCATTTTGAGGAACTGAATAAAATTTGATATAAGTGCAGGGAATTTTGTAGAAGATCTAAAAATTGTTCAGCAAACTTCTAAGAACTTCATAGATCTTATTTTAAAAAAGCTCAATGAACTTCTTGGAAGTTTTGTGAAGTACGTTAAATTACAAGAAACTTTTCAAGATGTTCAAGAATATTTGTCGATGATGGGGGTCTTTTCAGAAGTTTAAAGAAGTTCGTAAAAGTTGAAGAAATTTTTTAAAACTTAGGGGCGTTTTTTAGATGTCGAGGGAACGTTGCAGAGGTAACAGAATATTCTTTCAGACATCCTTCGTAGACAGAAGGGAATATTAAAAAGATCTCCATATAGACGAAGATATTAGTAAAGTTCTTTGCATATTTTTCCAATACTCCAGCTAATCGAATATGATGGAATCGTGAATGATGAATCTAGATTTTATGGACATGTACATTTTCAATAGGGAAGACCCGTGGAAGATTTAGCCATATTGTCAAGAATTTGCACTTATCCGTTTAAAGTACAAGCGAATAATAAATTGGTACCAAATGGCTTCAACCAAAACAAACTCAATTTCCAATACAAAAATAAAAAACCCTATACGTTTTTGTAAAAATAAATTCAAATATTATTTAGCTACGGGGCACAATCATACAAGTTTGGGGTTTATTCCTTTCTAAGCAAGAACATATGAATATCTCAACTACGTATGATAACTTATGTTGGTACAGTGCTCAAATCAGTCAGGTTCAATGCCCCGTAACGTTGGTAGATCACCTTTTCGTGGTACGTTACTGGATGTAAGATCTACCACCGATTTCTAGTCCTGACTACTTCAAACTAGGGGAACAGGATTTTTCAGTAATCAAAGGAACGCATCTTAGTCCTTGTTACTTTTTATACCTTGTTGATAGTGGCAATGTAAGGAAAAAAAATTAGAAGGGTCTGTGCCTAGGGGCACGAACGGAAGCTTGACGTAGGACCGCTAGTGGACTGAGCCGATTTCAAAGATGAAAATATCAAATGAAAGGATGGCACCCACTACTAATTTTTACAATATATTATTAACCCATTAACGCCCAGTGAACGGCGCCGGTGGTGTAGTGGTAAGCGTGATTACCTCTCACCCCAGCAGGCCTGGGTTCAATCCCAGTCGCCGCCGCTGGGATGTTCTGAGGCATAACATCTCTGATCACGCCTTCCTTCGGATGGGAAGTAAAGCCGTTGGTCCCCGGTTCATGAGTTGATGGGTCGATAGGTAGGGTCCAGGTGTGGGAGCTGCCTTCCTGGCACGTCGGTAGCATTGGTGCTCAGCACGGACAACAAGATCGACGGAAAAAAAACAAACCAAAGGAAAAAAAAATTAACACCCAGTGATCTATTTACCGATCAGCATTTTTGTTCCTTTTATCATCTCTTAACAGAAATTGGAAACGAATGATCCTTGGAATATCCTTAACATCTTGCTTTCAAATAATGTGGTGCGAATAATCCTTGCGGTACTCCTAGAAAAATCGCACATTGTCCGGAGGTCAAAAACGACTTGAGCGTAAACGGGTTAATAATGTGAAATAAATTTTAACATTATAGATGATGGACCGAAAACACCAGATAAATTGACGCAGCGATCGCATTCATGACTGTGAAAGATTATCAACTGTTCTCGATTGTGGAAAACGAGGGCTTTGTTAATTTATTGAAAATTCTGGCACCTAAATACAAAACTGCCAACCTCTAGCTCACGACAAAGCTAGTTGACGAACAAGTATTCGAAAGTACTCTAGTGTGTCAAAACAAAAATTCAAGATAAAGACTTGACCATTACTACCTACATCTGAACCGATAGACATACCAGTAGGAACTATTTGGGAGTAACTTGTCACTTTTTAGCCCTCAAATTTCTACATATCTCTAAACAATTGACTTTGGCATTTATATCATGAATGAGCGGCACAATAGTGCATACCTTTCAACTTGCTTCGAGGAAATTCTTAAGCACTGGAAAATCCCCAAATAACATCATCATTCCTTTATTTAACGTCGGTCTCTGTTCCGCAATCTAGTGTCAATCACCAGACCCATTGAGGTGAGAAAGCAGTCACGCTTACCACTACCACATTGAGCATGATTGTTCCATCTAATATGTTAAAATCTGTTTACGGATACATTCTCTGATGATAAACATATTGGTTGTTTAGTCCATGCAAGCAATCTCGTTGCGAAAACATCGTTTGAAACTACAAAATATCTATCGGAACTGATAGATAGAGTAAAGAAGATAGTTGCCTTTAATCGGAGATCAACAATCGCAACAGATAAACTGCACAAGCTACAGATTGAAGATGATGCTAAAAGAACACCTCTGATAATTACTTCATTGAAACTAGATGAAACTCGGAGTTTATAATTTTTTAACGGGTTCTAAAGCTGTACAAATTTATACAAATCATTATTTCGGAACAAGATCGCTTCACGGAAATGGTTAAATTGGAGAGAAAAAGACATTTGGAAGAAGTCATCAAGCTACTACAGCCTCTTAATGAAGTAACTGAATATTTGAGCGGTGAAAATTATGCGACACTAAGTCGGGTGCTGCCTATCATAAACTGCCTGAAGCCAGTATTATCGGATGGAAAAAAAACTTCCAAGCATCCTTGTTAAGAGAAATCAAATCCTGACTTGAAAACTTCCGAGTCTCGCCTGTTTATGAACCAAGTATGTTTCTGAATCCTCGGTTTAAAGATATTTATTTCAAGAGTGGTGATGAACGCAACGCTGCAACGGAAATAATCATCCACATGGTCCTACCAACCGGTGGAAACTAACGATTTTAAATTGGCTCACTACTTGACTAGCCTATTGGTTCCAGGCAAATCGATTAACGTACCCCATTCTAGTCAAAATTCTAGCACTATACAATGTTTGTTTTGATTTGCTATGAAAGTTTGACAGATAAAATGAGGGGTTCGTGGATTTTCCTATGTATCGATTAGTTTGGGACCGAAGAGAGTACCAGAGCTGAGCCAAAAAGTTGAACACGTTTCTTCGGGACCTACTAGTCTTAGAGTTACCTCTATGGTCCTACCTCCAGCTGAAAGATCCATAAAGACGATGTTGTTAGCGAGGAGCTCTGAGCAAGATCCCTAGTGATAATGGGATATAGAGTTACCTCGAAGGCATGGTTCAACGTCACAAGAACCGAAGGGTAACAATGCAAACGCCAGACTCCATCAAACCAATGACGTGCGACATTTTTCGGTACTGGGAGCAGCAGCAGAGTTGATTTCCATGTTTTTACCAAACGGCACTGAAGCGTTGCATCCTCGGTGCCATCACAGTGTTTGTTTTCAAAAACAGGATGAATTTTGAGTAGATCTAGAAGCAGTCTCAATCCTGAATGATTTAATCAATTCATTTTTCTCCATAATGTTGATGCCTCTAGTTTTTAAAATGCAAAATAAACGCAGGAAAGCAACAGAGTACTTTTAAAGTGTATTGCTTAATTATTGCCCGATATCGATAACC